AAACTACAATTCCGCTTATATTTCACACCACACATTGCCCTAGACATGACAAACTCCCTGCCTCAGCTTTCTCCTCGCTGCCATTTATCACCACCTTCACACCCATATAAGAGCGTTTTGGGAAAACTATACTCTCAACATTCCCCTCTTTGCCTCCAAGGAAAAGTTCTTTGTCTCCACAGACCCTAAGTCACCACTCACTCTTTTTTCCCCCCAATTTTTATGATTCACCTCATCTTTCATAGCCCACCGCTACACGTCCACTCCCCCAAAAATTTTGAATACTTCACCCCCCCTACTCTTCCCCCAATCGATTTCAACTTTCAACACCTAACTTTTTGTTTTCCTCATAACCTTACTCTTTTCCCGTATCACCTTTAATTTTTCTTTTTTGCACACCCTACCCAAATTTTATCCACCAATTCTGCAACTTTTTCTTCAGAAACTCCCAAAGCACAGTGTCATCAGCAAGAGCACTGTGACAACTCCCACTTTGGTGGATTCTTTATCTTTTAACTCCCCCGCCTCTTGCCAAACCCGCATTTCTTCTCTTACAACCCCCCCTATAAATAATTAAACAACCCCGGGGCACACACACCTTGTCTAAGGCCTACTTTTACTGGGAAAAAATTCCCCCTTTCCTACATCCTAAAATTTTAGCCCCCTATCCCGTAAAAACCTTTTTCCCGCTTTTAGTAAACCCACCTCCCCAACACCCTACACTTGCAACATCTGCCCATTGCCCCCCCCCATCCACCCTGTCAACGCCTTTTTCCCAAAACCATAAATGCCACAAAGACCTCTTTACCTTATCTAAATACGTTTATTTTATGTTTTCACGAAACACCTGGGCCACAACCCCCTACCTTTCCTAAAGCCTCCTTGTTCACTGCTTTTCCATTCCCGTCTTACCTTAAATTTTTTCATTATAACTCTACCAAAAACTTTACCAGGTACACTCAAAGACTTACCCCCTATAATTTTTGCACTCTCTTTTATCCCCTTTGCCTTTAACAAAGAACTATGCATGCCCTCTGCCAATCCCAAGGTACCTTACCCTCTTCCATACAATTATTAAAAAATTGCAACCAACCACTCCAAACTCTATCCCAACCTGCTTTTAACATTCAATCTTATCCCATCCCAATCCCGGCTGCCTTCCCCCTTTCATTTTACCTATGCCTCACGAACTTCCCCCACACTCATACAACTGCTCTTCCTCACTCCTACAAGATGTTTATTCCTCCCTTGCCCTATACACGAAATCACAGCTTCCCAATCTTTCATCAACATTAACAATTCCTCAAAATATTCCTTCCATCTTCCCAATACCTCTAAACTCCTCGCATTTAATAACTCTCCTCACCTATATTAACTGAACAAATCCATTGTTCCTCTAGGCTTCTTAACTTGTTAATCCACTCCAAAACTTATTTTCTTATTTCAACAAAATTGATTGATAACATCTCCCCACTCTCTCATTGCTCTCTTATTACATTGCTTCACCACTCCTTAACTTCTCTCTTTTTCTCCATATACTCTTCCCTCCTTGCATCACTTCTACTTTGTAAAAACTTCTCATATGCTAACTTTTTTCTCCCTTACTACTCTTTTACTCACATCATTTCCACCATCCTCCCTCTTCTCCCTCTCTGCACTCCACTTTCCTGTAACCACAAACTTCTGCTGAATTACACTCTAACCTATAACATTTTTTAAACCTACCCCATAAATACCTCTTCGAACGCCCATTGCCTATCCTCTCATTAGCCCCTCTATCTCCAATAGCCTGTTTATATCTTACCTAACTGCCTGGAGAGGTTAGATATTGGAATATGGAGGAATAATTTGAGGAATAGTTAAATGTTGATGAAGATAGGGAAGGACTGTGATTTCGTGTATAGGGCAAGGAGGAATAACATCTTGTAGGAGTGAGGAAGAGCCAGTTTGAGTGTGGGGGAAGTACGTGATGCAGTAGGTAAAAATAAAGGGGGTAATGCAAGCCGGGATTGATGGAAAAGATAGAAATGTTAAAAGCATGTGGGGATATAGTTTTATGGAGTGATTGTGCAATTATAATAAATGTATTGAAGAGGTAGGTAACTAGGATAGGCAGAGAGCATGCTAGTTCCTTTGGTATAAAGGCAAAGGTGATAAAGAGAGTGCAAAAATAAAGGGGGATAAGCTGTTGATTGTACCTGTAAGGTGTATGTTAGAGTTATAATTGGAAAGAATTAAGAGTAAGACGAAATAGGATAGCAGATGAACAATGAGTCTTTAGGAAAGGTAGGGGTGTGTGGACCAGCAGTTTACAGTGAAACAATAAGTGAACAAATTTAGATAAGGCTAAAGAGTCTTTGTGCATTTAGATTTGGAAAAGGCGTATTACAGTGGATAGGGGGGCAATTGGCAGATGTTGCAATTTGTGTATGGTGTAGAGGTATGTTACTGAAAGCATTGAAGAGTTTTACGAGGATAAGTGAGGCTCAAGTTAGAGTAATGTAGGAAAGCGGGAAATTTTTTTTCCCATTAAAGAAGGCCCTTAGGACACGGATGTGTGATGTCACCGTGGTTTGTTTAATATATTTATAGATGGGTTGTAAGAGAAGTAAATGCGAGGTCTTGGCAAAGGCGTGGAGTTAAAAGATTAAAGAATCACACACAAAATGGAGTTGTTCACAGCTCTCTTGCTGATGACACTGTGCTCTTGGGAGATTCTAAGAGAAGAAGCAGAGATAGTGGGATAATTTGGTAGGGTGTCCAAAAGAAGAAATTAAAGGTGAATATCAGGAAAGAGTAAGTTATGAGTAAAACAAAAAGATTAGGTATGAAAGATATGAATATCAGATTTGGAGGGAGAAGAGTATGGAGGAGGTGAACGTATTCAGATATTTGGGAGTGGACTTGTCAGCGGATGGGTCTATGAAAGATGAGGTTGAATCTTAGAATTGATAGTGAAAAAGAGTGAGTGGTGCACATTAGGGGTCCCCTGTGGAGACAAAGAACATTGTCCTTGGAGGCAAAGAGGGAATGTATGAGAGTATAGTTTACCAACCTCTTTAATGGGTGTGAAGCTGGGTGATGAAGTTGCAGCGATGAGAAGGCTGGAGCAGTGAGATGTCATTTCCTGAGGGCAATGTGTGTGTGAATATAATGAAGAGAATTCGTAGTTTGGAAGTAGGAGGAGTGCGGGATTACAAAAACTGTTGTCCAGAGGCTGAGGAAAGGGTTGTTGAGGTGGTTCGGACATGTAGAGAAATGGATCGAAACAATATGACTTCAAAGAGTGTATCAGTCTGTAGTAAGGAAGCGGGTGGGTCCGGCCTAAAGGGTTGGATGGAGGGGGTAAAGAGGTTTTGTGTGCTAGGGCCTTGGACTTCCAGCAGGCATGCGTGAGCGTGTTTGATAGAGTGAATGGAGACAAATTGTTTTTAATACTTGACTGCTGATGGAGTGAAGCAAAAGTAACATTTATTAAGGGATTCAGGGAAACCGGCAGGCCGGACTTGAGTCCTGTAATGGTGGAAGTACAGTGCCACTGCACTCTGAAAGGAGGGGTGTTAATGTTGCAGTTTAAAAATGTAGTGTAAAGCACCACCCTTTTTTTCTGGCAAGACAGTGATGGAGTGAAATGATGGTGAAAGTTTTTCTTTTCGGGCACCCTCCTTTGGTGGGAAGCGTGACCATAATGATAATAAAAAAAAAAAAAAAATAATTTTGTCAAGGTTGGGAACCAAAGCAATCATAGTACTAGGGGGAGAGAGCACAACTCTGTAGTACCCACAGTCAGTGGCCAGCTTCCAACACCTTTTATTTTACAGCAATAAAAGAATGGAAGACTACCCACACATGTCAAAAGCAGTCCATAACATGAACCAGTTCAAGAAGAGTGCCAAAAAGGTGTCCTGATGAAGTAGCTACGAAAGGAGGGGAATGATTTTCTATTTTTTAGCTAACATAACGTGTAAATTTTACCTTTTCCTAGAAATGACCCTCGTAATTGTAGATATCTTAATGTCCCTCTTGAGTATAATAGTCTTTTTTAGTAGATATTAGAGATGTATATCTTCATTGTAAGAATAATAAGAAAATAAATAACCTTTATATTAAATAATAAGGTAAAAAGACCCCAATGGAAATAAGTCACACACTCGTCTTACTTTTTGGGTTATCCGGGTTCCTCAACACATTGCTGCTATGTAATGATTATTCTATATACTGTATTGTGTATACCTAAGAAACTTCCTTAACATAGAGAGCTAGGAATGAAGGGATAAAAATTAATGCGTTAGAAATATCTGGCCTAGAGATGACTTACAGCAGTGGGTTTAAGATGGAAAAATTTAGATTTAGAAAGGATATAGAAAACCGTTGGCTTGGTAACAGAGTTGTGGATAATGGAACAAACTATGGAGTAGCGTCACTGAAACAAACCTGTGTAGTTTTAAAAACAGTTTAGACAAGTACATGAGTGGGTGTTAGACCTCCCTAGAATGAGCCAGTAGGCCTACACCAGTGATGCTTTTTCTTTTGTTTATAGGCCCCCTCCCCCAACCCGTCCATGAAGGCTACAGTAAACGCAAAACGTGAGACTCAAAATAATATCAATTAAACACAGAGTGCGAGTGCGGAGACTAATACTTTAATAGCGCGATGCGGAGGACGTCATGCTACTGATGCTTTAAACAAACTACCCATACCACTCTCTCTCCTCTCTCTCTCTCTCTCCTCACATTAGTGGTGATTCTCTAGTGTGTTTGGAAGTGTATAACTGCAGGTGGTGTTTAGATGTCAGCTATTTGACGGAGTGATGGAGAGTATTAAGGTAGTGTTGGGGTGCCACCCAACACTTCTCACCCCAACACTACCTTAATCTCCACCACTCATCAATATCTGACACTCTACACCCACCACCTGCAGTTCCTACACTCCCACCACACCTACATCACCCACTACATACTTCTAAATAACACCCACAATACAATAATGGTCAAACTTACACTTCACGTGGTTCACCTTCACTTGCTGCAGCCAAGAGGAACATCAGGGATCATAATTATATCTTCATCACATATATAACATACTTGTATATACTTACTGCATCATTATAACAAGAAGAAGAAAAATAAAAAACAGTACAAAATAACTTATTTGCAATTGTTTCATTTAGTTTTAAGTTAACTAAAACTTTATATACACATTTCATTGTAGTCTTAGTTTTTTTTTTTTTTTTACATTTTTTCTACGTAAGTTACAATATATGATTATTTTAAAAATAACTTCTATACGAAATTTAAATAATAATTATCATGGAGAGCGCTAAACCCGTAGGGATTATACAGCTACTGTATTCGATTCAATTCAAAGTTTATTCTCTATAAGGATTACAATTCTGAGTTTACAGAATTTGGTTATTGTGTGGTTTACATGCAATAAAATAATGATTACAGAGTGTACCACTAGAACACCTAGCATGGCTAGGCATTTCGGGCAGACTTAGTTTAATTCTTAATTTTAAAATATTACAAATTATAAGGTTAGGTTAGGTTAGGTAAGGTTCGTCAGGAAACAGGACAAATGTTTCCTGACGCGGGTCTTAGATGATGACCCGCCTTTGGAGCTTTTGGTCATCTGACCGAGGCCTTCCGCTGGCTTACCGGTCCACCCCTTTAAAAATTATGGTCATTTATAACCATTGTTATTTTTATATAGAAATTAATTATAAGGTAAGTTGGTATTATGGCTAAGTGACTAAATACTAGATTGTGAGTTTAGCAATGTGAATGCTTTTGTTTTGGCACAGTATATAGTTTCAGTATTGGAGTATCACAGGATTCATTATTTTAAGATTGAGATTAATGTTTCTGTTTATGGTCAAATGGGTGAGTGAGTGTAAGTGTGAACCACCAGGTGGTATTCGTGTAGTTAGTTGACGGGGTGTATCAGGGAGATAAGATGTTTTCTAATGGTAGTTTTGAAGGTGATGAATGTGTCTGCAGTTCTAGAGTTCTCAGGTAGGGTATTCCAGATTTTAGGGCCTTTGACATACATTGAATTTTTGTAAAGGTTTAGTCGGACACGGGGAATGTCGTAGAGATGTTTGTGTCTGGTGTTATGCCTGTGGGTTCTGTCACAACTACCAAGAAAGCGTTTTAGGTCAAGGTTGATATTGGAGTTTAAGGTCCTGTAGATGTAGATCGCACAGTAGTAAGTGTGGATGTACTGAACAGGGAGTAAGTTTAGATCTATGAAAAGTGGGGGGAGGGGGTGTTGCCAGGGATGGGATTTAGTGATTATTCTTACTGCAGCTTTTTGTTGGGTTATTATTGGCTTTAGGTGTGTTGCTGCAGTTGATCCCCAAGCACAAATAGCATAGGTGAGGTATGGGTAAATAAGTGAGTGGTATAGTGTGAGAAGGGCATTTTGCGGCATGTAGTATCGTATCTTGGAGAGGATCCCAACCGTTTTGGATACTTTTTTGGTTATGTGTTGGATATGGGTGCTGAAATTCAAGTTGTTGTCAAGGTACATGCCTAGGAATTTGCCCTCATTATGTCTGTTAATTAGAGTGTTGTCGATCTTAATGTTAATTTGTGCATCTCCTGCTCTGCTACCAAACATAATATAGTAGGTTTTGTCAGTGTTAAGCTTAAGTTTATTGGCTGTCATCCAAGTCGATATTTTGATCAGCTCCTCATTAACAATGGTGTTGAGGGTGGCAAGATTAGGGTGAGAGATGACATAAGTCGTGTCGTCAGCAAAGAGAATGGGTTTCAGGTGTTGGGATACGTATGGAAGATCATTGATGTATATGAGGAAGAGCAGGGGACCAAGGACGCTTCCCTGCGGAAATCCAGTATCAAGTGGCCGTGTTGTTGATGCTGTGTCTTTAATGGTCACCCCGATCCACAAAGGAGGAGACCAAACAGAGTTGAATAACTATAGGCCAATATCCAACTTACACCCTCTCTCAAAAATCTTCGAAAAATTAATTCATAAACGAATCTACTCCTACCTTATCTCCCAAAACATACTCAACCCCTGCCAATTTGGATTCAGGCCTAATAAAAATACTAATGATGCTATTATACACATGCTAGAACATATATACACTGCAATAGAGAAAAAAGAAGTCCCACTGGGGATCTTCATTGACTTACGTAAAGCTTTTGATACAGTTGACCATGACTTGCTCCACGTAAAATTGTCACACTATGGTATAAGAGGGCACTCCCTCAACTACCTCAAGTTATACCTCAGCAACAGAAGCCAATATGTGTATGCAAATGGGGCAAACTCCTCTGCACAACCAATTACAGTTGGTGTCCCACAGGGAAGTGTCCTTGGCCCTCTTCTCTTTCTCCTATACATAAATGACCTACCAAATGCTTCGCAATTACTCAAAACCCACATATTTGCAGATGACACTACATACGTCTTCTCCCACCGAGCCCAGTCACGCTAGCCAATACTGTAAATACCGAATTACAGAAAATATCTACCTGGATGAGAACTAACAAACTTACACTAAACATTGACAAAACCTACTTCATTCAGTTTGGTAACAGAGCTACAGATGTCCCTCTTAACATAATGATAAACGGATCACCTATCACAAAGCTAACAGAGGGAAAATTCTTAGGAATCCACCTTGATAATAGACTCAAATTTCATACACATATACAACAAATTTCTAAGAAAATTTCCAAGACTGTAGGCATACTATCGAAGATACGGTACTATGCTCCACAGTCAGCCCTCCTGGCCCTATATCACTCTCTTATTTACCCTATCTCACCTATGGAATTTGTGCATGGGGCTCAACAACAAGTAACCATCTCAGACCACTAATTACCCAACAAAAGGCTGCAGTTAGAATGATAACAAATTCTCACTATAGGCAGCACACTCCACCAATATTCAATACACTAAACCTCCTCACCATACAAAACATCCATACTTACTACTGCACCTATTACATACATAGAACACTTAACTCTGATATTAACCCTCCCCTCAAACATCTCCTTGCCAACCTCAACAGAACACATGACCATAACACAAGGCACAGATCACTCTTTGATGTTCCTCGTGTCCATCTCACACTATGTAAAAACTCAATGCACATAAAAGGCCCTAAAGTCTGGAATTCATTACCTGTAAATATAAAAGAAACACTACCTGTTTATAAATTCAAGTCTCTTCTCAAAGATCACTTACTCACCCAAAACCAAATAAATACTGAATAACTGAACCTTATAAATTGTATATCTTAAATGTTTCTCACAATTATATCACATAAATGTTAAACCTAAAACCCAATCTAACTTTATTATTTTTTAAATACACTACCTAACAGAATACTCCATTCTACTGAATGTACAACAATGCATACAACCATATGACCTGTCTTTGTAATACTCACTTGTGCTTTATAGTAACCTGTTTACATAAATGTTTTATCACTGATTTCATCATTGCTTAGTTAATCTTAAGTTAATTTTAAGCCAGCCCGTAATGCTATGCATAGTATAAGTGGCTTTGGCATACTGCTCTTACCTGTATTTGTTGTACCTCTGTATGTGTGCTCAAATTTTTAAATAAATAAATAAATAAATAAATGGTGACATACTGATACCTATTAGTAAGGTAAGATTTGAAATAAGCAAGCGCATGGCCTCTTATACCGTAATGGTCAAGTTTGTGGAGCAGGATGTCGTGGTCTACTGTGTCAAAAGCTTTTCTTAGGTCAATAAAAATTCCTAGTGGATATTCCTTATTTTCCAATGCTGTGTAAAGCAGATCTAGCATTTTTATGATTGCATCATTAGTGCTTTTATTTTTCCTGAATCCAAATTGGCAGGGGTTGAGTATGTTTTGTGTCATTATAAATGAATATAGTCTCCTGTGCACGAGTTTCTCGAAGATTTTGGATAGCAATGGTAAGTTTGATATTGGCCTATAGTTGTTTAAGTCTGTAGGGTCACCACCTTTATGTATTGGTGTAACCCTTGCTGTCTTGAGTAGTGTCGGGAAGGTGCTAGTTTCTAGTGACTTGTTAAAAAGTAATGAAATAGCATGCGAAAGGACATGGGCCGCTCGCTTGTACAGTAATGGTGGGACATGAGACAGATTCCCTGAGTTATTTTTAAGTGACTTTATAATCTCGGTGACTTCCGTGGGCTCAGTTGGTGCAAGATAGAAGGAATTTGGGAAATTCCCATCTAGGTAGTCCCCGGCATGGGCATTGGTATGTGGGATTTTATTGGCGAGATTAGATCCTATGGTTGAGAAGAAGTCGTTCATCTTGTTAGCTGTGTCAGTGGGATGTAGTGGTGTTTCATTAGGTTTAGTTAGGACAATATTCTTGTTTTTTTTCAGTTTGTGAGTCCCTAGAATCTGAGAGAGTGTTTTCCAGGTCTTTTTTATATCTCCTCTAGTGTCTGTGAATCTACTGTAGTATAGTTGTTTGGCTTTTTTTATTACTTTGGTGAGAACTGATGAATAGTGTTTAAGAATATCTTTGTGTATTAAGCCCTGTCTATATTGCTTTTCATATTGGTGTTTCTTGTCAGTGGATTTCAGAATGGTGCTGGTTAGCCATGGGCAACCAAGCCGTTTGTTTGTGATCTGTTTCGTTTTTATAGGACAATGTTTGTTGTATAGTCTAAGTAATTTGTTAAGAAAAATGTCTGTCCAGCCATCAATACCATTGGCCTTGGAGAATTCTGTAGACCAGTCAACAGTCTCTAGGTCAGCTGTGAACTTCCTTATTGAGGCCTCATCATGGAGTCTAAATGAGACTTTGTTGTATTCAAGTGGTGGTTTACTAATGTTTGTCAGGAGGAAGGTAGGGTAGTGGTCTGTAGTGCTATCTGTGATTATCCCTGATTTAAGGGGAGCTAGTATATTGGCCCATATGTGGTCTATTATGGTTGCACTTGTCTCAGTGAGCCTGGTTGGTTTAGTTATTGTTGGTATGAGAAGTGTGTTGTTCATATTGTTGATGAAATCAGTTACAGGCTGATCATCTAGTAAGCCAAGGTTGGTGTTGAAGTCTCCAGCTAAGAGAAGGTGATGCTTATTCATTTGTCTGTTTGTTATTAGTGACTTTAATTTCTCACTGA